TTGTCAAGTAGATTCGTTTCTCGAAGCACGACGGAGAAGCGAAAGCCAATCGCGAAGCCGGCCGGAGCCGCGCGAACGGGAGTTCAGCTAGCCGAGGACAGAAAAAGGAAGAGAGGTCTCCGCGCAGCGCAGGAGAAACAGAGAGTCTATAGTCAGACACGCGATTAGAGTAGGGAGTAGTGTAGTAGATCTAGGATGTCATGGCGTGGGAGAGTCACTTTCACCATCGGCGGCCCCTATAGCGGTAAAGTCTGTCCGTAGTACATGAAATTACGCGACTACGTTCCACGATGATGGTACTAATCCAACGGAAATACGTGTCAGGCAGAAATCATCAGATTTATATATAACCGGTGTCGAGAAATTCGTTAAAATTCTACTTTTTTACAGTGACACAGTGAAGAAGATTTTTCATCCACTTCGATTAACAAATGCAAAAAAATCACCAAGTAATAATTATATACATACGATATAATTTAATAGTAGGCGATTTATAGTACTGCTTTAATCTAACAATGCACACAAAACTTTGTACAGTAATTTGAAATCTGATTTAAATCAAAGAAACCATGAGACGAAATGATCTTTGCCGTGATTCCGGACTTGGTGTATGGCATTAAAGATTTTGTTTGCTTTCGATTAATTATTGAGGCGTTCCGTTTACCCGGCACGCGACACGCCGCGTAACCTGCTTCCTGTTACGATAGTTATCGCGTCGTATACGGAAATAGATTTACGAAAATAATTACATACACTATTTACGAGACACGCGAAAAAATATATCGATATCGGGATTGCACGGAGGTAGGGGAGAAATGTAAGCGAATGCCCAGAAACCGTAGTCGTTCGCGAGCGGCATTTTTACTTTCCTGTTATGTAAAACAAAATCTCTAACCTTTCATTCGGTTACATAACTATTGAACCATACTTGTACATATAACAGACCTAGCATAAGTAATTTCCATGCATACTTCACGACGTCGTGTCGTTGTATTTGAAGATTAGTTAGCATTCAACATTTAATTTACAATTGACATATTAAATTGATACTCTCTCAATTGATTTTAACATGAAATTCGGATGGAGTCCGGCCGATCAGACAAGTAATTTCTGGAATAAAATTTACCGACCTGTCTGGTCGGTACACACCTAAACCGTGATAATGACGCGTTACACAACTTTCCAATTATCGAGAACGTCCGACGTTCAATTAAAAACCACTCGCAAGCAGGCGACGAAAACTGGTGACGAAAAGAGGAAGAAAGGAAAAAAAAAAAACGATATCTGAAATGCTCTCGCGATCTCTCCTCCTGCTTGCAACTCTGCCGCGTTTAATGAAGCAAATACCACGAGTATCGGGGTAAAGCGCGAACCTCGAAAAAGCTTGGCCGAGATAGCGAGAAGCTTGCGTGGCTTTGTGCCCGGCACGAACGCGCTTACACACATGCATTCCGTGTACACTACCCTCCATAAGTATTCAAGCAGTTATTAAAGAAGATCGTGCTTTTGCGATACATTAGTAAACGGGTCTAACAATAAAGAAAACGATTTCCTTATCAAAATTAATTAAGTGAAGGTTCTGCTATCGCAATTGATTGAATTATCCTATGATTCTCTCATCAGTAATGTAAATTGTGGTTCTAATTTATTACTGGACTTACTAGCTGAGACTTGATATCTAAAGATATTTCAGATATTGCTTCATTTCTATCAGTAAAAGAAACAATTCGTCATTTTTGTCAATAATGGAATTGGTGTTATGGCGTTTAATGTTATGAAATTTCTGTCTCACAATGCTGGTTGTCAGAAGTGTCCTAATTTCGTTTAGAGTTTCGAATAAATAATAAAGATTTTGAGAAACTGAGAATGACGTTCGTACATACTTATGAAGGTTAATGTACACAACAAGATCGCCGACGGCCTCTCAAGAAGAGACCGTAGGTTAGTGCATTGGCTGCACTTTCCGTCTCGCTGTGTGTGCATGTGCACGCCACAGCGGCGTCGGTCGTGTGCATGCAGTGGTTACGCAAGAATAGCATCGTGTGTGAGACTGCTGACCCACATACGCCAGGGAGCAAGGACCCCGCTGCATCCGCGTGTGTGTGTATAAACGCGCTAGCGCACGCGCACCCCTGCACGCCGTGGATGCGCTTCCTCTGTACCTGTATTGGTGCATGTATCCGCCATCTGGCGTTGCACATGATCAACCATCGCACACAGTCGCCCACGTGGCTGTGCCGTGAGATACAGCTAAGTCTAAGCAACGTTCACAACGTGCATAATCATCCCCCCCGATGCCAATCCGACGCGAATACTTTATAAACCCGACCGGCTATTGTGATTTTGCTACATTTAAAATTATTTCTGATGCTTCTAGGATTTTCGATCATGATCAGATAGCTACTTCTCTTTATTTATATAATTATATATTTATATAATTCTTGTGTTTACTATGAATGCGAAATACACAAGAATAGCTGCACCCTAATTATCGATATATCATATAATTCTTGTACTCACGTTGAATACCGGACGGATAGCGCGCTTCCGCAATAAATAGGACGGATAGATGACAGGAATCAATATTTCGCGTTAAATTGCTGCGTTCTTGAGCACCGGTGGGCAGGTATTTTATCCAAGCGAAACACGATTAGGCGCACTTGCACGCCTTCGCGCGTCTAATCTCTACACGTAATCGCCTGTAATCGTTTTTCCTCTTGTTCTTTTCTCTCTTTGAATCGATATAAATACATTGTTATTAATCGCTAAATACATGTAAATATCGAATCATGAAAACGAAATTAAAGGAAGTTCTTTATTAGAATGTGTGTGCGAATATTGTCCATGCAATGTCGTACAAGACGTTGAAAAAATCGCGGATGAAGAGAAGAGAAATCATTTGAACTATAAGAACACTTGACGCGACAGAGAAAGTTGTTCCACGATTTTACGACTGACGATTATTTACTTTGCCTTTAAGCTTGACAGTAAGGAACTTCGCGCAACTGTATAAGTCAGTCAGTGGGTGTGAATGATCGGTATCTGATGTGCGTAAATTTAAGCTTCCAGAAAGCGAAAGATTAAACAGGTGAAGTTGGAAATAAATTGAGAAACACGATCTCTGGAATGAGTTACTTGCATTATGCATATGTACGTAGTTATTGTAATTTTATATCCACGCAGTTTTCCGATAAAAAATTCAGGAAAGAATTAAATGAATCATATATGCAAACATGCATAGTTGCATAGACAAGCAGTCGCTTACGATTGGTCTGTACCCATTCGCGACATCGTTTATTAAAACGACCCATGGCATGTCATAGACCATTCCTCTCAAGTATATACAACTGCGAAACTGGCTCTCCCCTTGGCCGACCATTAATTATAAACAGTCGGCGCACAGTGATAAGACGCGATATATCATTATCAAGACGCCCTGGGCGACGGGTATTATTAACCCTTTCTATCATGGATTCTTTTTACAAATAATTCATTTTAATATCGCTTGCAGTAACGACATGAAAAATTGTAATTGTCTTATTCTTACTATGATTAAACAAAGCCACACCGAAGTTCTCATTGGCCGATCGCGATTCCAAGAGCTAACTGAGCGTGATATTAATATTACATGATAGATTGGAATTATTGAATCGATAGCATTTTGCGCGTCAGTTCGCTCAAAGATACTGCCATGCAACGATCCAATTGTATGCTATTGGCTAAAGAGAGGTTAATGGCGAACTATGTATTTGTTGTAACGCGAACGCGTGTGTCCGGTACACGTACTTTCACGTTCAGTACGTTCTCTTTACGATAGCCAATATCCTCAACAGCGAGATGACTTCGATCGCTGTGATTGAGAAGCCTCTACGAATTTGAGTCAAATATACTTCGAACCTTAAATCAAAGGCTGATGTCTGACAGAAAGTTGAATAATAATTTGTAAGAATGTCATTCTTTTATAAAATGTATAGCGATTTTTATTCACGTAAAAGTTCTATCCTAAAA